ATTCCCCTCCCTCCATCACCCTCTCTGTTCTCACATTTCTATAGATGGAGTAGTTCTAAACGGCCTGCCTGTTTTCTACCCGGCTCAGAGAGAGAGGCTTTAAGTTCATACACATGACGTATGAAGCAGCGTAACACTAATACGTTAATGCTAAAGCTGCATGTACATGTATTCACCATTATGAAGAGTACTGCTTCTTTTATTTCAACTGTGAACAGAACCAAAATATGCCGTTAAACTTGCAGATTATAAAACATTTTTAGTTGATTTGTGGTGGTTGTTTAATTTGTTGCTTAAACCCTTGTTAGGCACCCAGGATTAATTGTCTTCGTCGTTCCAGCACGTTGTCAGACCGCTCTTTGATCAGGACCACGGGGATTTCAAATGCACCGTAAAGGAGCCTTTTCATTTCCTAACCGATATCCTTTCTTAAGAGCATTTACTGCTTGCGTCTAATCGCACCATCAGTGTCAGCCGGCACGCAGTAAAAAAAAAAACACTTTGTGCATGGCACAGGTATCGATGAAACAGCACTATTTGACAGCCTTGGAATGAGACCAAGGCATCTTTCTGGCAAGGTCTGATTGTATATATTCCCTTTCCTGGCATGGTTGACTAAAAATCAATGTAAGTGATTATCTTTATTCCATCATGAATCTTTTGTCCTGATGGAAACTGATCCCTTGCATGATATCAGTGTCCTGGGGGACAAGCTGTCTCTTAAATGTTTAATTGAGAAAACGTTGTGAATCATTTGCTCTAGAGTTTGAAGTCCTGTGAGGTAAAACTAACAGAGCGTCTTTGGGAGGGGGAAAAAAAAAACGCCTCTCAGCACAAAATCCTTTTTTAAATACTTTTGTTCTCCCGTCTCATGTTACACAGATGACTGTTCAGCTCACACTTTGCATTTTTAATTACTCGTATTATGTTTGGGTTTCTCTGTGATCAGGTCCACGGCATTACAAATATCAGCTCATAAAGAGTCATCATTTACACTCAGAGCTACGTCTCCTCAGCGCCTACGGAAGGTATTCACCCCCTTGGGTGTTTTTCATTTTTATTGCTTTTTCAAA